CCGCCCCTTCTCACTCCCCCCACCCCAAAGGCGCGCCGCCGAGCAACGAGCGGGCAGGGCGTGGCGAGCTGCTGGGGAGCAGCCCCGAAGCGGCCCTCTCCACGGCCCCCCGAGCTGCAGCCGCGGGCCCGGGGCGTGCCCTGGAGAGGTGCAGGCTCCGTCTTCCCCCCCCCGCGTAGGAGTTCCCCCGGGCGCCCGGCCGGAGCTGCCAGAGGCGCTCCCGGAGTCGCCTGGTGATCAAGCAGTGGCGAAGCGCCCCGGCGTGCTCTAGGCCTACCAGATAATGTTCTAAGAACCCCTTTTGTGGTTTCCGCGAGATGTTCTCAGAGCATCTCTGGCTGGGACTGTCCTGTTGGAACACAGATCGGGTTTGTGTTCTGAGAACATGGTTTTGGTTCTTGGAACATGCTGGGGTGCCAGGCACATGTCGTGGCAGGCCCATAGGAATGCCAGGACAGCCGGTCCCTGCTCAAGTTGGGGGGCGCGTGATGGGGGCTGCACGCTCGGTCCCCGCCCCGCGTGGATTTCCCCCGGGCGCCCGACTGGAGCTGCCGGAGGCGCTCCTGGACTGCCCGCAGGGTGGCGCGTAATGGGGGGGCGATGTGGACGAGGGGCGGCAGCGAGGGTTGCAGAGAAGGAGCCCCTTATAGGGCCGCTGGATGGGGCCTCTTTGGGCCCCAAAGGCTTTAAGGGCCTGACAAGGGCACCTTTCTCCCCCCCTCCATTTGCTGCCCCCCATTACTTCGCACCCAAGCCCGTCTTCCGACTGCAGCGAGGAGTTCGGGGAATGGGGGTATCGGTCAGGATGGTGATTTTGTTCCAGCAGTACTCGATCAGAGCACGGTTGTGAAGCGCGTAGTTAAGCTGCTCCGAAGGGGCGATTCATCATGAGCAGTTCTTGTAAGGTATCGATCGCATGTACGTTCAATCGTGCAGTTTGCGGACAGATTTTGATGTAAAGAAGGTTTAGGATGAGACAATGTAGAAATATCCTTACGCAGTTCTGTGCATGAGGGGAACAGTTTTGATCGTGATCTCCCCTGCAGCCTGCAGCCCTGCAGTGACCAGTCGCACTGTACACCTGCTAGGGAGACAGCGGGGGAGAAGTCAGAGTGACACAGCCCCGCGTCAGAGCTTGAAGCTGAAGGGTTGCGCGATTTTGGCGAGGCGCCTGACGCTCCTCCGAGTGCCCGCGAGACGGTCCCGGGAGATGACGGTCGAAGGGTCCCTTGGCGGGGGAGCTTGCGGCCCGGGCGCCCGTGGAGTGGCGCAGGCGCCGGGCAGAGAGCCCGGGCAGCAGCGCTCCCGAGGGCCACTGCGCGGCAGGCGGAGCGGGCGAGCCTCGAGAGCGCGCCGCGACCCGGCCCAAACACACACACACACACATTCGGTAGCAAACCACGGGAGCCTCGTGTACCCTCGCAATCTTGTCTTTAGAGTTAACTGGCGTCGATTAGCGTCTGGGAGTCGATGAGATAGCGCCGAATTAGCGCAGGTTAGCGTGCATTAGCGTCGACGTAGCGTCGATGATCGTCGACTAGCGTTGATTAGCGCCGACTCGCAGGAGCCGACAAGATGGCATGGGAGGCTCCCATGAGTTGCCACCGAACGTGCAGTCAGCTCTAGGAGTCACCTGGCTTCGCGCTCTGCGCTGCGCGGGGCGCGGCGTGCCGTTCGGGGCCTCCGGCAAGGGCCAGCCCGTGGCACGGGGGGCGGACTGACTGAGCGGACGGCCGCGGCTGCAGCGTTGGCAGGAGCTCCACGGAGCTCAGCACGACGCCCACGCTGGGTGGTCGGGTCGCACCGCAGGCGGCCCCGCATCAGGGTGCCCCGCTTCACGTTCGGGGCCCGTGGTGGGGAGCTCCTCGACTGCGGGCGCTGAGCACCATGGAGGCCATCGAGGAGAAGACGGGACGGGGCCTCCGCAGCCCCGCAGCCCGAGCAGCCCTCCCTCTCCAGGAGCGCCCCAGGCGCCGCCGCCAGCCACCCTATCCGGCCGCTGCCAGCCGTCGCGTCGCGGCACGGCGGAGCAGCTGCGCCCAGTGCCCACGCGCCCTGCCGGGCAAGATGGGGGAGCTTCGGAGGCGCGCGATCCGCAGCGGGGTCGGCCCCCGGAGAGCCTCGAGAGGACGGCGGCGGCCTGGCAGGAGGCGCCAGCGCGCAGGGTGTCGAGCAACTGAGGCCCCTCCAGCAGCTGCCGACCCGGCGCGTCGTCGGCGTGCAGGTCTTGTTGCTGCCCGCGGGGGCGGGCCTCAGAGCCAGAGCGTCTGCTGAAGGCAGCCCGAGGCCTGGTCGGCCATGGAACGGGCGCTGCAGGCCCGAGAAGCCCGGGCCGAGGTGGCGCACGTGCAGGCGGCAGCGCAGAGGGCGGCCATGTCGTGAAAGCGCGCGACGCTCTCGAGCAAGTTGTCGCGAACGAAGGCAGCCAGCAGCCAAAGGGGTCTGTCATACAAGTGGAGCCAAGGATCCTCATGTTCACTTCGGGCGGCGAGCAGCGGAATCCAAGGGCGCAGAAGATGTTGCGGATAAGGTTGAGAGCTTTTGTCGTGCGTCGAATAGCGGTCGCGGTATGGGCCCAACCGAGATGGCAGTCACATTTGGAAGTTCTTTGGGCGGAACCAGGTGGAGCAGGCGAACCGGGGCATTGTTTCGAAGCGCCGCTATCAGTGCACCGGGCCACTCGAGAACAAACCTTTCAGCTCAAGGAACCAGGCGGGAGCGGCAGTTCCGCGTCAGAGGTGGGCGGCCCCAGGTGGCGGAAACTAAGTATGTGAGATGTTTGGAGGTTGAAGCGTGCTGGGAGACAAAGTCGGTCGAGATGAGGAGTGCGGCATAGCCAGGCAGGAGAAGGATATCCTGATCAATTTTGTTCGCCAGAGTGAGATTTCGGACCAGCGACGAAATCCGAACGGAGAAAAAATGACAAAAACCACCACGACCGCCTTCCGCACCACTAACCTGCCACCGCCACCTCCAACCCACCACGTCCAAGCCCTATTCACCGATCCACTCCCCAGCACCGCCACCAATTACCTTTCACTCTCGGCTGCCACCCCGAACTCTCTCCCGCCTTTTCGCCACCGTTCATCAACGTCACCACCTCCCACCCAGAAGCACCACCACGACGCCTTCCCTCCACCACCATCACCACCACAGCCACTATCACCGATCACCACACCACTAAACACCCACCACAACCACCAGCCACCAACAAGCGGAATCACCCCCACCACCACCGCTAACACCCACCGCCCACCATCACCACAACACCACAACATTCCGCATGGCCATCACCAATCACACACCATAACGCCCAACAGCTCACCCCTCCCACACCATCACGACCTTGACCATCACCCGCCCGGTGCCGCTGCCAATTTCGAATCCGTGGATTGTACGTTTGGCGCACGCCAGATGATTGAAGTATGCTAATATTGCAATATGTACGTGACGATTCAACGGTGCTTCGATCTTGCCATATGTACGTGACGATTGAGTGGACTTGTTAAGACCGCAATCTGTCTGTATTCGACGGGGTGGTTCGTCTGCTGAGCGCTCGCATGTTTCATCCCGTTCCGTTCTGAGCTGGCATTGACTGAAATGACCATCCACCACCTCTTCTCCCTGTCTTCTCTCTCTCTCTCTCCCACCCTTCTCCTTCCCCCCTCCTCCCGCTCTACCCCCCTCCCTCCTCCTGTTTCTCACCCTTCTCCCCCTCGTCCTTCGCCCTCCTACTTCTCTTTCTCCTCCCCACCTCCCTCCTCCTCCTCCTCCTCCTCCTCCTCCTCCTCCTCTTCCTCCTTCTACTCCTTTGCCTCCTCCTCTTTCTCCTCCTCCTCCTCCTCCTCCTACTCCTCCGCCATCCATGTTCCTTGTCAATAACTCCTCCCTGTTGCACCTCCTGGCGTGTCGATTTGGCGGGCCGGGCGTTACGCCTGAGACTTCCTCACCATCTATGATCCTGAACTTTGCAACTTGCAGCATCCTCACGGATGGAGGGCGGGTGGTTTTCAGAAGGTAGTTCCCGCTTTAGCTCGGCGGCGATCGAGGGGGTGAAGTGAAAAGGAGAGGGCCTTCTCAGAAGGCGGCGGGGCTTCTCAGAAGCCCTCGCGCCTTTTGAGAAGTTTTCTGCGTCTTCGGGGAAGGCTTTGAAAACTTGTCAGAAGGCCGGGGAACTTCCGAGCCTTCTGAGAAGGCCCGCCCCTTCTCACTTCCCCGCTGGGCGCGCCGCCTATTAGCGCCACGCACATTCGGTTTTTCAAAGTTTGCAGCAGTTTCAAGAATGGAGGGCGGTGGGTGCTCAAAGTGTAGCTCTCGCCGGGTCGTTATCAACATATGGTTCTCGCTGTAGCGCCGCGCACATTCGACTCAAACATCTGCAGCAGCTTCAAGGATGGAGGGCAGATGGTTTTCAAATTGTGGCTCTCGCCTTAGCGCCGCGCGCATTTGTTTTCTCAGCGTGCAGCAACTTTCAGGATGGAGGGCGGGTGGTTTTCAAAAAGTGGTTCTCGCCGTCGCGCCGCGCGCATTTGTTTAAACAAATTGCAGCAGCTTCAAGGGTGGAGGGGGCTCAAGTGTGGTTCTCGCATTAGCGCCGCGCACATTCGTCTCAAAGCTTACAGCAGTTTGAAAGATCCGTATGGTTGAAGCCCCGGGAACGGTGTTCTGGTACGATCTACAAACGTCAGGACGCAGCAGTCACGTTGTTTCGCCGCATTGAAGTCTCAGGAATTGTGTTTGGACGCGATGCAATTCTCAGACGGTTGCTTCCAATGTGGCGTTCCCGCAATCGACATCATTTCTTGTAGGGGCCCATGAAGAGGGAACTTGGAGGGAGGGTTTATGGCAACACCGTTGCTGCGTCTTGGGTTTGCACTGGTCCTCCCCCTCCTCCTCCTTCTCCTCCTCCCCCCCTTCCTCGCCCTCCCCCGTCCGCCCTCCCCCTGCTCTCTTGCCCTCCCTCCCTCCCCCTCATGGCGAAGCGGGAGCCGCGCGGGGAGGTGCTGGACAGATGACCCCCATGGGGCGCCCGCCGCCGCTGCCGGACCGCTGAGAGCGCGGGCTGCAAGAGGCTACCCCCGCGGCCCAGCGATCCGGCCCGCCCCATATGGGGCCTCGGTGCAGGACGGGCGGATGTGCTCGGACGCATCCTGTCCAGGTCCTCTTTCGCCCCCGTCCCCGCCTCGCCCTTCGGCAGCAAATTATGGGAGCCTGGTGTACCCTAGTAATTATGTCTTCAAAGTCGATTAGCGCCTGGGAGTCGATGATATAGCGCCGAGGTGGCGTCGGCTAGCGTCGATCAGCGTCGATTTAGCGTCGACGATCGTCGATTCGCAAGAGCCGACAAGATGGTATGGAAGGCTCCCATGAGTTGCCACCGAATCGTCCCTTCCCCCCCTCGCCCCCCTGTCCAGCTTCGCCCGGGCATCGCTCGGGCGTGTGCTTCTCCCTTCCTCGGCGAGGGCCCTCGAGGCGCATCTCGGGCCATCCTGCGGAACAGAACCAAGCGCACGAGATCGTAAAATGTGCGGGGAATGGACGTCCGAGCGTTGGCAAGGTTTCCCCCCTCTCCCATTTCTCATGCCCCCCCCTGGCCTTCTGGAGGTCCCGGGGAGGCCTCTGGCGGTCCTCCCGAGGCTTCTTAAGGCTATCGTAGAAGAGCCAAGAGCGCCTGAAGAGTTCTGTGTTGGTATGTTTTCCTCCCTCCTCCCTCCTCCTCCTCGTCCTCCTCCTCCTCCTCCTCCTCCTCCTCCTCCTCCTGGAGTCCTCCTCCTCCTCCTTCCTGGAGACCCCCTCCCCCTTCTCCTGGAGACCCCCTTCTCCTGGAGACCCGTTCCTCCTGGAGACCCCCTCCCCCTCCTCCTGGGGACCCCCTCCTTCCTTCTTCCCCCATCGACCCTCTCCAACCTTCTCCCCCCTCGTCCTGGAGACCCCCTCCTCACCCCGAGACCTCCGATGTCTTGATTTTGTCAAAACGGGGTCCATGGAGCTCTGGATCACTTCCCAGGGACAGTTTTCTCGCCCTGGATCGTTTTTTGACCGTGTGGGACCCAGCGAGAGCCCCTTAGACACGACGAAAAACCTTCGTGTTGATTTTGCCCACTACTTTGCAGGTATTGGTCCTTCCCCCTTTTTCTCCTTCTCCTCCTCCTCCTCCTCCTCCTCCTCCTCCTCCTCCTTCTTCCTCTCGACGCTCTGCCTCCTCCTCCTCCTCCTCCTCCTCCTCCTCCTCGGCGTGATTTTGTCATGCAGCGCAGTGGTCGTGCTCCAAAAAGAAATCCTCCTGCTTCTCCTCGTCCTCCTCCTGCTCCTCCAGGGGCCCCCTCCTCGTCTTTTGCGCGCGAGCACTCGAGACGTCCGCCGCCTCGATTGCGCGGTCGCCGAGCGCGCGGTTGCCCCGCCAGCGCCAGCGGCCCGCAATAGGTGGGCTGCCTTCTTTAGAGGCCGCCCGGGTCCGGCTTCGAGCTGCTGTGCGCGGTTCCAGTGTGTGCCTCTCAGATGGGGTCCGAGTAGATGGGGTCGGAGGACCGCGCCGCATCGCCGATGCATTGGGGATGCATCTCGATGTGGATCCCGACCGTCTCCACGCGACGTCGCCGATACATTGCCGTCGTTGCCGATGCATCGCCAATGCAACGGCGATGCATTGGCGATCGGGCGCGATGCTCAGACCCCATCTGCTCGGACCCGTGTTGGGAGGTCTGCCTTGTTTCAGGCCGCCCAAGTTCGTCATGTAGGAAGCCCAGACCTCCAAAGACCTCCACCGCATTGAACAAATCAAGACGGAGGCGGCTTTTCGTCGTCTTCGCTGCCTGGGGGCCCTCGCCATGCCCCAGGACGGTAAAACAAAAACGATCCGGGACAAGAAGTTTGTTCCCAGGAAGTGGACCAGAGCTCCAGGGACGCCGCTTTTTAAAAGTCAACATTTGGAGGTTTGGGAGGGGGTCCTGATGTAAACGGGTTGCTTAGAGGTTTGGGGCTGTTTTCGGCCTCTCGGATTTGTCCCCAGGCACCAGGGCCGTCAAAAGGCGACTCGAGATGAAGATCTGGTCCTGGGGAGAGAGCTCCGGGTCCAGGATCCGTTTCTCTCAGGACCCCTCCCCTTCATGCCAACAAGTGGGGCCAGAGCAGACGGGGTCGGAAGACCGCCACACATCGCCGACGCAGTTATCGGCGATGAAGCGCGCTCTGGGGAGCCCGATTTTCGGGAGACGTCAGCTGGCCGCCTCACTGGTCCAGGCCGCGCCCCTCTTGGGCTCAGGGCAGGTTTCAGACGGACGAGGTGGAGGAGGAGGAGGAGGAGGAGGAGGAGGAGGAGGGAGGATACGGGCGGCAGGGAGGAGGAGGCGGATCAGGAGGAGAGGGAGGAGGAGGAGGAGGAGGAGGAGGAGGAGGAGGAGGAGGAGGGAGGGATGGGAGGGAGGGAGGGACGGGAGGGGAGGGGAGGGGAAGGGGAGGGGAGGGGAGGGGAGGGGAGGGGAGGGAGGGGAGAGTGGAGGGGAGGGGAGGGAGGGGAGGGGAGGGGAGAGGGGAGGGGAGGGGAGGGGAAGGGGAGGAGAGGGAGGGAGAGGGAGGGGAGGGGAGGGGAGGGGAGGTGGGGAGGGGAGCGGAGGGAGGGACGGAGGGACGGAGGGAGAGAGGGAGGGAGGGCGGGAGGGCGGGAGGGAGGGAGGGAGGATGAGGATGATGATGATGATGAGGAGGAGGAGGAGGGGCACGAGGAGGAGGAGGAGGGTCGGTTTATACTACATACGCCCTCCTGGCTTGGCCGGGAAGACACCTGCACCGATCCTGGGTTTCTAGGATCGGCGCGGCCAGGACTGGGTGCTGGAGGCCTCGCGCGGCGCGCAAGAGGTGCAGTGTCTGATCCACACTTCCGCCCGGTCGAATGGAACGACGACGTTCGCGCGGTGATGCTCTGGCGTAAGTCCGACGTAAATCCGACGCGAATCCGACGTGAGTCCAATGTAAATCCATTCTGAACCCGACGTGAATCCGATCCGGCGTGCATTGGGTCTCGAGCTGCCGCGCGAGGCCATGCAGATGTTCCTCAGAAGGTCGGTTGACGCCCCTCGAGACTTTGTGCATCCCGATGTCGCTGATGCATCGCAGAGGCGATGCGGTCGCCCGACCCCGTCCAGCCCTCGGCCCCGCCTGGGCGGCCCTCGGCTGGCGCGTGTGTCGGAGGCCCCCAGACAGTGCGGTGACCACACCGCGTGGCGCGTCGGAGGGGGTTCGGGGTCACCGCACGGCTTTGGGACTCGGGTCGTTCTTCGAGGACATCTCCGGCGACCGGGGCCTCCGGGGTCCCAAAAAGCAGTGGAGTCCGAGGCCACCGCGCGGTCCGTCGCCACACAGCTGCGGGGCCCCGAGGTATTTAGGGCTGGGGGGGAGGCGTGCCGCCTTCTGCCACGCGGGCGCAGGGCGCGCCCCTGTGATTGTGCTGTGGCCGTCCCCCCCCCTCCCTCCGCCTTCTCCTCCTCCTCCTCCTCCTCCTCCTTCTCCTTCTCCTTCTCCTCCTCCCTCCTCCTTCTCATTCTCCTCCTCCCTCCTCCTTCTCCTCCCCCCTCCTCCTCCTCCTCCTCCTCCTCCTCCTCCTCCTCCTCCTCATCTGACTTCAGATCAGTTGTTTTTTGGCTGGTTTCGCAAAAGTGGGCAGAACTGCCCGCCCCACTCTTCAACAGTTCCTCAGGTGCCGCTTTCCGCCCTGCTTTGCCGTTGCTGTTTCCGCCACACATCTACGGAAATGTCTGTCCTGCTTTTTCCGAGGCGGTAGTGTCCGCATTGCAGTGGAAACCCATGCCAAGAAACACCCTGCTTGCCTCCTGTGTGCCCTGGGTTTCTTGGGCTTCGACGGTTTTGCTATGAAAACCGAGACGCTCCCACACCAAAAATCAATTGGCGTCCTGGGTTCCAGGGTTGGATTTCTTGTGGAAGGCTTCTTGTGGTCGAGCTACGAATGTAGTTTTCGCATCGTTTGGCGTGCATTTCCGACATACTTCCCAACCGCAAAATCAACCAACGTACGGCCGATCCTGAGTCAGGGCCCTCTGCCAGATAGTTGTCCGAAGCTGATCCTGGATCGTGATGTTTCTGCTTGTTTTAAGGAAGAAGCGGCGACATAAGCATACATTTGCGAAGGTCCGTGGGTCGGCGCTGGGACCCCCTGGCGGCGACTCTGGCGCCGCCACCGGCGCGCTCTGCACGGCAGAGGGGAAGGCCCAGAGCTGGTGCAAGAAATGATTGCGGACTTCCGAAAATTAGACCCCGTGAAGCAATCGGTACTGCCCCTGGAAACTATAACGCTTCCGACACTTGGGCCAGGGAAGCGATAACCCCTCTGCTCGGATCCATGGAGATTCCTTCGGGATTCCTGTGATGTTCCGTTGAAGTTCCTTTGGGACTCATTCCTTTGCGATCCATTTGGGGTTCCTTTGGTATTCCTTTCGGGGCCCTTCCAGCTTCCTTTGAAATTAATTTGGGACTCCTGTGAGGTTCCTTTGAGGTTCTCGGGCGTGCTGGACCACCACGGCGACCACCAGGGCCAGTGAATCGTGTTTTTACATATGTTCTGCCACACCGCGAGGGGATCGCAGAACGCGTTTACGGTATCTTTCCGCGGACTCTCCCGTAGGACCCCTTGAGAACAAAAAAAGCAGTTCTATTTCCAATGCGGATTCGTTATATTCACGAGAGCCCGCGTTTTCCATTTTCGTGTGTTCTTGTTCGTTCTCCTTCTTCTCAAGCTGTTGCTCCTTATTGTAGTGGCCTTCGGCCAGTGCCGCCGATCCGGGTCGCTCGGTGTTATTTTCCAGACGCAGACATTATGGGCGCACACTCAAACGCACAAACTTCTCGGGTTACCTTCGAAAGGGCGTAGGAATGCAGTTGGGTCAATAGAGCCATCTCGCAACAGTGGTTCTGTCAACGGCGGGGTGCTTGCAGTGACCGTGGGGACGGGAAATAATAATGACATGAAAATTCCATACAGGATGCCGATCACTTTGGAAACTCACGATACGTCGTGCACGGAGTCGTGTTACGAAACATGTGGCCTGGACGATGTGGTGCGAGCGGTGGAGGCGAGCCTATCGGCGCAAGGACGCCCTCTTGGGGCGTTTTTTGAGCCATCTTAGGAGCCTGTCAGGGCGTCGTGGGGGCTTCTTGGGGGCTTTCGGAGGCCCTCTTGGAGGCTCTTGGGGCCTCCTGGGGGCCTCGTGGGCTGGAAGGCTAGATTTTTTCTGCTTTTCGTCCCTCTTTTGGGTCCTCTTGGGGCCGTCTTGGGGGCCTGTTGGGCCGTCTTGGGCGGCTCTTGGGCCGCCTTGGGGCCCTCTTGGGCCGTCTTGGGACTGTCTGGGGGCCTCCTGGGCCGTCTTCAAGCGGTCTTGGGGGCCTCTTGGGCCGTCTTGGAGCGTCGGAAAGCCGAAAAAAGCGACAACCCCAAAAACATTGGAAAAAAACGATGGGAATCAACGATTTTTGCATCTGGGGGCCATCGTGGGAGGCCTCTTGGAGGCCTCTTCAGACGTCGTGGAAGGCTCTTGGGCCGTCTTGAGGCCATCTTGGGCGTGTTCGGGCGATCCTTCGGGGTCTCGGGACTTTCGTAGACCGTCCTCAGAGACTTTTGCGGCCGCGGCCACCCTTCCAGCGCATCCTCGAGATTAGAGCCTTCTGTAAAAGCAGCACCCCGCATCCGCCGGAAACTCGCACCCCCCCCCCCACCCCCCCTTCCCCGGCAGAGCCACCCTGGCAACCCCCCCAGAGGCTGAGGCTCAGCCTCGAGGCTGTAGCTGAGACTCCTTGAAACTCACACGCCGGATCGGCGGATTTGTCGGAATCCTTCGGTATTCCTTTGAGATCCCCTTGGGGTTCATTCGAGATCTCAGTAGGGATGTCTTCAATATCCTTTTTAGACTTAGTCGGGGTTCCGTTGGGCTTCAGAACTGCGTTCACACCCTTTTGCACGTCTCAGGATTGCTTCTTTGAGGCACCTCTGGGATTCTTGTGCGTGCTGGACCGCCACGGCGACCACGGGGTCCGGTGAATCAGGCTATGCCGAATGAGTGCGCCAACGCATCGCAGGGGTGGGGGGAGGGGCGCGGCACGCGTCACCGATACGGGTGCGGTATTGGTTAAGGAATGTGTCTAGGAGGCTTCAGACCCTGGAGGATTCCTTATCTGATGAGGGCGGCGGTGATATCCATGGCCACGCCTCGATTGAAGTTCCACTGGTCTCCAGACCCTGGATTCCTTATCTAAGGGTTCCTTCTCCAATGTCCCCACCGTATGGTTCCGTGGGATTCTTCAGAACCCCCCTCAGGAAGGAATCCGATGTGTAGCGTGCCAAGAAGAATTGTCTTGTGCCCAGGCGAGCCCGCGCCCTCTCTTCTCGTGTGTTTGTTCCTCCTCCTTGTGCTCCTCGAGCTGTTGCCTGTTGCGCCCACTCTCTCGGATTCTTTCGGACTCCTCCTGCATGATTTCGAGAGTCCCCGTGAATCCATTTGGTACTTCGCTTAGGTGTTTTCCAGTCCTGCTGGGATGCCTTTGAGCTTCCTGGACAACCGGTAGAGACTGCTTTGATATCCCTTTGAGGCTATGTTGGGTGTCCATTTCCACTCCTTCGGGTTTCCTTTGGGATGCCTTCCAGCTTCTTTTGAAATCTGTTGAAGATTCCTTTGAGATCCTGTGGGATTCCCGTGCGTGCTGGACCGCAACGGTGACCACGTGGGGACAGCGAATAATTCGTTGTTTGATCAATGTGCCAACACATCGCGGGGGGGGGGATCGCAGAACGCGTCTGCGACATGCTTCCGTTGACTCCATTAAGACATCCTGAGAACGTCATGTCTGCATTCAAATAACCACGCGAGCCTATGCCTTCCCTTCTCGTGTTCTCCTCCTAGTCCTCCAGCTGTTGTTCCTTCTCTTTGGGATTCTTTTGGTATGGACTGTGTACTGAGATTCCCGTTGGGCTCCTTCGAAATATCTTTGAGATTTCGCCCATGGTTCTTCAAAGTTCATTTGAGTTTTGAGGTTCGTGGGGAACTCCCCCGGGATTCCTCTGGTATTCCTTTGGAACTCCTTTGGGATTTCCTTGCGATTCCTGCGCGCGCTGGGTTGCCATGGCGATCGCCAGGGCCAGCGATTTGGCTTATATGCACATGTGTGAACATATCACGGGGGGGGGGGCGGCGTGGATTTCGTCTGCAAAATCATTCCGTGGACTCCCCCTCATAGTTTCGTCGAGAACTCATTGCGTTGGGCTCGCAAGGGGAATTTACCTAAGTCCACTCGAGCTCGCGTCTTCACATTATTATGTGCTTCCGTGCGGATGCTCATTAGCTGCATCTTCGGTTTTCTAACGAGATCTTGCGGCTTCGTACTGTTCATAAGGGTTTCTATGATTTACACTAGGCTTTACGATGCGTTCAGTGTCATTGGGCGCTACGCAATGTGGCGGCCTTCGTGCCGGCACCTTCGATTATGCTCTGTCAGCCTGGTCCCAGGGCGGCGCAAACAATGATTACGTAATTCGCGCATTCGTTCTTCTTGGTGCTGACGAGAACGTTGGGAGGCGCCGCCTAGACTAATGAGCTGCCTGTCCTGCGTTAACGATGTACCTGGGGGGCACTGCTTGCTTCCCGGGGCTGCGTGCCTGTGCGGTGGGGCGTTCGTTGAGGAATGTGCCCAGGAGGCTTTCGACCCTGGAGGGTTTCTAATCTGATGAGGTCGGCGGCGGTGTCCACGGCCAAGTCTCACTTGGTGTTCCACGGGCTCCCAGACCCTGGATTCCTTCTCCATTGCTTCTTTATCCATTGCCCTCACCGTAGTTGCTTCTTCCTTTGTGGCTTGCCTCATGCCGCTCTGGAGCGTCTCGGACGCCCTGCGCCGCGGTCGTTGTATAGCACGGCCTGCCCGCGGGACGGTCGCCGATTGCCCGGGGGGCCCCCAAGCGGTGTGGTGACCACACCGCGTGGTGCGTCGGTGGGGATCTGGGGCCACCGCACGGTTTTGGGACCTGGGTCGCTCTCCGAGGCTCCCTCGGGCGACGGGGGGGGCCTCCGGGGTCCCAGAACCGCGCGGTGACGGCCCGCGCGGCGAGGTCTCCCCTGGGACTTCGAGGTCAGCGCTGCGGTCCGTTGCCACACGGTCTGGGGTCCCCCCGAGGCCGTGCGCTCGGCCAGGCAGGGCCTGGCGGCGGAGGGGCGGAGGCAGGCGCGCACGGGGCAGGCGAGGGCGAGCGCGAGCGAGGGCGAGGATGGCAGTCAAGGTGCTGCCCCAGACACGCTCGCGTCGTGAAGCACTTGCGATGGGGGGTGTTAGGCGATGTTCGGCCTCTGGGGGCCCTCGCCCTGCCTCGGGACCGTCAGAAAACGGTCTGGCATGAAGAACGAGCCCCGGGGTAAGGGTGGGGACTTCCTGCGATCGCGTATGGAGAGCATCAAGACATAGCATGTCTGGGATCATAATGGGCGGTGACTGAGGAGCGACGCCCCTCTTTGGCCCCAGAGGCTCGAGGGTTATTGAATCGTTTCGCTCATTCCGCCAGCTCATGTTGCACCTCTGTTGCCACACGCTGGCGTGCCCATAGCGGGCGAGATGGAGGATAGGGGACTCGATGGGGGAGCAAGAGGAGGAGGAGGAGGCGGAGGAGGAGAAGGAGGAGGAGGGGGAGGAGGAGGAGGAGGAGGAGGAGGAGGAGGAGGAGGAGGAGGAGGAGGCGGGGGAGGGGGAGGGGGAGGGGGAGGGGGAGGAGGGGGAGGAGGAGCTGGAGGAGGAGGAGGAAGAGGAGGAGGAGGAGGAGGAGGAGGTGGAGGAGGAGAAGGAGGTGGAGGAGGAGGAGGAGGAGGAGCAGGAGGCCTCTCGACGGCGTCTTGAGGCACTGTGGGGACCAATCCCGCGGGTGCGTGAGGAGCGCTGGGGGTGCAGCCGCAGAAGGACCACAGCCCTCCTCGAAATCAGACGCAAGATGTTGTCCAGCCCCCTCGCCCCTGCATGTCAATGTTGACGGACGCGCGCAAGGCGGCCCGCGTGCTCAGCACAAATATAGCCAGAGTCCAGTCTCCCGAAACAGCGCCTTTTGAGCCATGGTGGTTCCTGAGAGAGTTCGCGCGATCTCCTGCTTCTGATCCGCCTGCGCCTTCGGCGTCGTCGTCGAGCTTTTCGTGATCGTTGTCGTCGTCGTCGTCCTCCTCCTCCTCCTTCCCCGCATCCTGCACTACATTGACTTTAATAATAATGTATTATAACACATAGCTCACATAGCTCACGCCTCATAGCTCGCACCACATTGTTTTCACCACGTCGCTCGTACCACACACTGCACCACAGCACTCGCGGCGCGCATCGCTTGCACCACATAGGGTGCACCACACCGCTCCCACACCCAGGGTGCAGCAGCTCACTCTTTGGAGCCAGGGCTGGCAAGAGCTCAAGAGCGTTGCTTCTCTGTGGTCGTTCATTGAGTTGGGCTCTCCGTGGGCCGCCTGGAGTCGTCTCTTGGAGCTGCGATCGGGCGGTATTGGGGCTCTTGGAGGCATGCTGGACGCCCTAACGCGTCGCGGCGCAACCTCCTCCAGACCCAGGGGAGGAAAACGGAGAGGGCGAGCCCCTCCCCGATGGGGAAGGAAGGGAACTGGAGGAGCGAACATCCCCGCCCTCCCCTTTATGTTTCTCTTCCACCCTAGGATAAATCCCTACCCGACCTTGCCATCCTGTCTACTCTCTCCTCCATTCCCCCCCTTCGTCCTGCCCCCTCCCAACACCCCTTCCCACGTCCCCCTCCCCTCCCCTCCCCTCCCCTCCCTTATCCCCCTGTTGCGATGGAAAGATACACAGTGGGAGCGGTAAGCAGATGACATTGCGCACGAAGGCTCAGAACAGCGAGTGAGGCACTTCGTTCCCTTCTTTCGGGTCGAGCAGCTCTGAGGCTCTCCGTGCTTCTGCGATTGTGTTCCCCGCACGTCCCTTCCTCGGGACGCCTCAGAGTTCTGCAGCGCTGTAATTGCAAATTTTGTTCCGGCTTTTCCCGCCGAGTATCTTTTACACCATGCAGTGTAGGCGTATAGGCTGCTTGGGACAATGATCCTGGCCTTTTCTGAATCTTCTCCCCCAGGTCACCATTCCCAGCACAGAAGGCATAGCCTGAGGAGCACGCTCCCGACCCGGGCCACCCACTTCTTTCCCGAGTGAAGACTGTCCGCGCCCGCGACAACATCGTATGACCATTGCACCAGCCCTGCCGAGGCGAACATCATTTCGTAGTCAACCCAATCGGCGGGCTCCCAGTCATCACGGTGTGCGACATGTACTGCAGAGCCGGTCGATATTGCCCGTTTGATTTCTCAGCGCCAGGCTTGTCAGAATGCAATTTTGTCTTTTGCCCAGGGCCCGCGGACGGCGTCCTCCGCCTGTCAGGCCACTGCGCTGGACCCCTCCAATCGAAGCTCAGGAGAGTGGCGGCAGCTGCTCGCTAGCCTGCAAGCACCCAAGGGGCTGCGAGGACTACGTTGAGGTCCGCATGTCGCGACGCCCCGCTGGGTTAGTCCGCAGGCGCATTAGAGTGGTGACTGGTGCACGTCTGGCAGCACCCAGCGGGGCGAGGAGGAGTTTGGGTCCTCAGTCGCGGCGCCCCGCTGAACCCCCGTGTGAGCAGGGACGTGGCCACAGCTGAGGTGTTCCAGAAAGGGCCTCGCCTTCGAGGATCGAAGGAGTTGGCATCCCATCCTCGGCGGATGGCCCGCGAGAGTCCGCAGACGGGGAAGATGCGCCCCCAAGAGATGATCACATTTTTGGGTTCAGGGTTTCCGGACCCGACCGGTCGTGCGTCTGGCAGCACCCAGAGGGCGAGGTCCGGTTTTGGTCCGCGTGCCACGCCGCTCCGCTGGATCTTTTCCCATGGGGCACAAGGGAGAGCGGCGGCAGTTGCACGTCTGGCAGCCAGGGCCACGGGGGGCGAGGAGCGAGGCCTGGTCTTAGGTCGGGCATGTCCCCCTACAGGCGGATTTTGGACGAAAAATAGAAAATTGTCCAAACAAATACCCAACATAGTCAAACATTGCCGAAAAAGCGCCCCCAGACTATAGTTTGACTATTTTCGAATTTTCCTCCTGTGGAGGGACACGCCCGACTTAAGCCCAGTCCGTGTCCACGCGTTGCCGTCCTCCGCTGCCAGGTCGCGCAAGGTGCGCAAGAACGTGGCGGCAGTCACACGGCTGGCAGCACCCCAGGGGGGCAAGGTCCAGCTCGGGCCCGCATGTCGCACCGCTCCGCTGGACCGGGGGAGCGGAGGCAGTCCTCCTCCTCCTCCTCCTCCTCCTCCAGTGCCAGGGGAGCGACGACTAGTCCGTGTCCGCGTGCTGCGGTCCCGCGCTAGGCTGTGCAAGGTCCGCAGGCGCGTCCCTGCGGGTGTACGGCTGGCAGTGCCCAGCGGGGCGAGGTACAGGCGTGCCGCGCCCGTGCGCTGGACCTTCCCCACGGGTGCAGGAGAGCGGCGGCGGTTGTACTGTTGGCAGTGTCCAGGGGGGCGAGATCTGTAGACCCGCTGGACTTAGCTGCACGCTCGGCAACATCCACAGTTGAGGTCGGTCAACAGAGCAAGGCTAATACCCAGGAGAGGGAGCGGGAGGAGTTGAGCAACACGGGGGCCGACGTACATCCGGGCTTCAAAAATTAAATGCCCGGTAGGGCCACTGGGGGCGGGGTGTTCTTTGGATTCGCCACGTCTTGGGCGACGCTGGCACGATCTGGCATGGATTGCGGATCTGTGGATCTGGCACGTGAGCGCCAGATGCACGGATCGGGGGAGGTAGCCCCCCGAAACATGGGGCCAACGCGACCTGATTTGGCAACTGCGCGCGTCGAGTCTGTGTGGAAGCGGGACCTTGCGCGAACCCACGCGCCTGAATCTATGCTTGCGCTTCCTCGAACGTCGCTTCGCACCTGGGGGGGCCAGCGGTGTGCCGCGCTGGGCGCGCCCGGGACAGATCTCGCCAACCTGGCAGGTGAAAACCGTACGGTTGAAGCCACGGTCCTGCTCCCTCGTCGCCCTGCGCGCGGGCGCACTGCTGGCAGCACCCAGGGGGGCGAGGTCACGCTCGGGCCCGCGCGGCCGGGCTCCGGCGCGTGGGCGTGCGGCGACAGCAGCGCGGCCGACGGCTCCTGGTCAGGGTCTGAGGTCCAGCTCGGGCCCGCGCAGCGCGGCACTCCGCTGGGTATCCCCGCCTCCGAGGGACTCTCGCATGGCAGCGGCGGCAGCGCTGTGCGACGGGCAGCGCCCAGGCTCGAGGAAGCGCAAGCATGGATCCGGGCGCGTGGATCATCGACGGGTCCAGTTTTCGTGAAGAGTCGGCGCGCCACGTCGCCACACGAGGCCGCAGGGGCCTCGAGTTTCGGGGGGCACCTTCCCCGATCCGTGGATCTGGCGCCCACGCGCCAGATCCACGGGTTCCTGGCCCATCTTAATTACAGTGGAGAACCATGCCAAGAGACACCCTGCTTGCCTCCAGGGTGCCCCCTGTTTCTGGGGTTTCGATCTGGTAAGTTTTGCGGTGGAAAGCGCGACGCCCCCACGCTGAACGACCTGGGGTCTCAGGGTTGGGTTTCTTGTGGAAGGTTTCTTGGGGGAGAGGCGGAGGAGGAGGAGGAGGAGGAGGTGGAGGAGGAGGAGGAGGAGGAGGAGGAGGAGGAGGAGGAGGGAGGAGGGGAGGAGGAGGAGGAGGAGGAGGGAGAGGAGGAGGAGGAGGAGGAGGAGGAGGAGGGAGGAGGAGGGGAGGAGGGGGAGGAGGAGGAGGAGGAGGAAGAGGAGAAGGAAAAGAAGAAGAAGAATAAGAAGAATAAGCAGAGGAGGAGGAGGAGGAGGAGGAGGAGGAGGAGGAGAAGAAGAAGAAGGTTTCTTGTGGACTGCCCTCCGCTGTAGCGTGTGCCCGGCAGGGGAGAGCGAGGCCTGGGCTGGGCCCGTGCAGCGCGGCCGCCAGCCCCGACCCCGCAGCGAGGCGTCTTGGGCCGTATTGGGACTATCTCGGGCGTCGTGGAGCGATCTTTGTGCGTCTCGTGGCTCTCTTGGAGGATCCTGGGGGGCAGGTCTCTTGGGGGGGCCTCCTGGAAGCATTTCGGAAGCTTCTTATGGGGCCAGGTTCGGTGCCTGTTGGGGGCCGTTTGGGGGTCTCTTGGGGGCCGCTCGGGGGCCTCTTGGGAGTCTCGTGGGGGGCCTCTGGGAGCCTCTTGGCGGCCTCCAGGGCGTTTCTGGGTGCCTCCTGGGGGCCTCTTGGGGCCAAAGCCAGAAAAGTCCGTTCGGATCC